TGCCGAATAAATTTGGAGCCATAGGGCCTGGCTCTTTTGGGCATATGGGCCTTGGCCCTCCACACAACATTCCAACCCATTATTTTGGGCTTGCCGTTTTTTTTTATTACCCTCTGATGGAGTTTATACAGATGTCTATGAGAGATAAGAAAAATAAATTACATCATTCAAAACAAAGGTTTCGACACAAAGGCTTCGACAATTGCAGATCGTTGGTGCGTTGCTGTTGCTTTTGTTTTCTGCTTTGCTTTTGCTTTCTTCTTTTCTCTTTCTGCTTTGCTTTTGCTTTTGTTTTTCTCTTCTTCCTTTTGGTATATGGTAGACAACACAAAGGAGAATAATAATAGAAATATTGTAAGAAAACTTATCTTTTTCCTGTTTTCCGCTAGTGCTCGTGGTATTCGCAGGAGATGGGATCTGAGCAACAATAAGGCCACTAATGTGAGCCATGTCGCAGGAGATGGGATCTGAGCAACAATAAGGCCACTAATGTGAGCCATGTCGCAGGAGATGGGATCTGAGCATCAACAAAGCCGCTAATGTCCCCTGTGCTAGGGAAATAATCCCCAAACTTATGAAATGAAACGGTCATGACCCTGTCTGTCGTGTAAAACGCCTCTTCAACACCATCTCCATGGTGAATATCAATATACTTTTCAGCGTGGTGCAAACCCACAATCTAAGCAGTGAACTGTCTAGACCTACACATTTTTGGACAGCAGCTTCACTGCTCTTAAATTGACCAATCTAACCTTCACTCGCTTCGGGGTTAACAGGGTGATCAAGCAAGAGAGACTCGTTTCAATGACCATCGGATCCTTTGCCGGAGTCGTGGACTAGATCTGGATGAGGTGCTGCAAGTTGCAGTTGGGGAGCAAGCAGGAAAGGTAGGAGCCCGGCCTGGGCGTTGAGAGAGAGGCGGTGCCGGCTCTGGCTGTCGACTCTCAACCACCGGTGGTCGACGAGCGAGCTTCGTTTCTGGTCTCCTTGCACCTCCAGTCCTTGTCATCGAGATGATGGGATTCTCTGAGATCCGGTCTATCAAGTTCAGCATAAGGCTCAAGTTGGGCCTCAGTGAGAATGGAACGAATACATTTGAGAAGAAATCGTCACCTCGACGAAAGAAATGGCGGCTGGAGAGACGGTCGAAGTTGAGGTCGCTTTCATTGTTGTCATCGTCGGAGCTGCGAAGAGCGTTGGTGTTGAAAAGCTTGGAAGCGGGAGAGTGGGTGATGGCGAGTGGGCAGATAGTGGAGATGGTGAAGGACTTGGGGAAACGGTTCGCGGAGAGGAGGTGGCGGAGGGCAAGTGAGGAAGCCATTGAAGACGCCTCTCCTTTCAGGGAAGTGATGGCTGCTTCTCTGTGTTCTTTGTAATCTTTTTATTTTTTATTTTTTTTTTAGGAATCAATTACCACACAGATGATGTTCATCTGTTTGCCCAGAAAAAAAAAAGACAGAGAATATGGACTTTCTCACTACCCAACTTCACTGCACTTTTTGTCTTTCTCGTTCGTGTTTTGTTTTGGTTTCCGTGTGTGACTGGCTGAGAGAGGAGAGAGAGGTGGTTAGAGGTCTGCGACAGTTTTTTCTTTTGGAAAAGCCCAAAGAGTAAGGTTTTTAGGTTCTTGGGTTTCTACAGATTCAAGGTAGACAGTGGTAAGATGAAAAAATGAAAGAGAACCGACATAGCTTTTTGTGTCGATTCCCACAAACGGCGCCAAATGTTGATGCACAAAACCGGAGGTTTTGGAACAACGTAAATCCAACCGTGAATCTGCAAGAAAGTAAAGAACACAAGATTGATGCGAAAATTATCTTAACACACAAATTTAACCCTCTTTTGACAATTGTAGTACAAGTATAAGTAGGGATCGTTCTGGACCGAGGATTATGAGGGCTTGCTAATAACCTCTAAACTGACTCAAAAACATAAAACTAAACTTAAAAAAACTTAACAAGACTCACAAGACTCAAAGCAAACTTAAAATACTCAAAACAGCTTAAAATAACCAAATAAACTTAAACTAGACACTAGGAATGACTTTGGACGAAAATTGACTTTTACTTGAATCAAAACACTTTAAAACACAAACTAAAATAGATTTGAAACACTTTGAAACAAGAAACTAAAAGGGGGGTTTTGATTTGGATGAAGTTGAAACAAACAAACAAGTATGAAAAACTAGACAGATTGTAAAACAAATGTGAGAAATAAGATGATGGATGGGATATCTAGAGGCTTTTTCTCCACACATGACATGTATGCAAATAACTCGATTTCCAGTTACTACTTCATTGAATTATGAATGACAATGCCCCAAATTAACCGTGACATCACTAGTTAACTCTCAGATTTTCCTTGTTTTATTGGATTGGATGACATCATTCGACAACCCAAAACATTCTTCAAAAGTTCCCTACATGACATCATAATAGAGATACAATCAAAGATCATTACGTCTAATGAAAATCATAAGCATTGACAAAGCACTTGCAACTATGACATCATGTCACCCATGCTAGGAATTGAACTTAACGCGATCGTTTATAAGCGACCTTCACTACATGTGAATATAAGTTTGTAACGATTATGTGAAACTTCCTTATATTCTAGCAACGGATTTATGCATGCCAATTAAGTGTCAACCCTTAATTAACAAGTACAAATAAGTTATCATAGTTAAGCCAATTGCATTCACGATTCAAGAGTTCATAACTAGAATTTATCAAATTATATTGCACACATAGTCATGGCTTTGAAATCACCCCTAGCCAAGAGGGGTTTAGCCACTCATATTTACAACAAAACGAAAGGAAATGAATTTAAACATTAGAAACAAAAGAAAGAAAACACCTAAACGCTCCAACGATCCAAGTTGGACAGCAAGCACATCCAAGCACTTTCCTTCCTTTCCTTTGCTACGGCATAAGGTGTTGGTGAGTGTTTGAAGGTTTGTTTGTATGGAGGAATGGATGTGAAGATGAATGGATGTGTTTGGATAAAGGTTGTGTTGAAATGGGAGTGAATGATCTCACAAAATATGAACTCAATTTATGTTACACACACTTCCTTTTATAGAGGAAGTGCATGGCTATGGAGGGGAACATGGAGTGGTGTAGCAATTGAGTGCAATGATGCATAAAATCTGAAATGATGGAGAGAACAAGGAATGGTGTAGCAATTGAGTGCAATGATTCAATGTAATGATGCATGAATCTGAAATGATGGAGGATCTGAAATGATGGAGGGAACAAGGAATGGTGTAGCAATTGAGTGCAATGATTCAATGTAATGATGCATGAAATCTGAAATAATGAAGGGGACAAGGGTGATTATGCATGGCATGGGTGGAAAGGTGCGTAAGTGGTGAATCAATGAGTGCAAGGGGGTGAAAGGATATTGTGCACATGGTAGAGAAAGGAAATGAAGTGGAATGATGCAACAAATGAGTCAATGGAGGGAACATGGATGATGATGCATGGCATAGGAATCCAAAGGGAGTGCAATGGTGGTGCACGGCAATGATGGAAAGGTGAATGGTAGAGTGACACCCCTTTGTGGCTGAGCTCTTTGTCCTTTTTACATTAATTCTTCTTTCTCTTTAACACATTCCTAGCCTCTTTTGTCTTCAATTTCGTCCATCCACCTTGCTCCATGCATGTGCTATTCATTCCAAGCCCAAAACTGCTCCAAAATGCACCAAAATGCATCTTATTGCTTTATAAGGCCTATGGACCTACAAACACACGAAAATAGCTTAAAATACATAATTAACTAAGAAATAACAACATAAATGCATGAGAACAAGCTAACTCAGTCGTATCAATATGCTCCTATCAAAGATGTATCGTGGTTCACCCCAAGGTTTGGGCTACGTCCACACTAATTATTGTATTTCTCTGAGATGTTGAAGAGGGAGAGAGAGAGAGCTTCTCTGTGAGGAGAGAGCTATGAGAGGGTGACGGTCAGGCCTAAGAATTGGCATCCCTTAATGAGGAGAGTGAGGAGTCTTTTTATAGAATAAGGGCTCCTCACTTATTACATATTTGCCCTTTCCTTTGTTACATAATTACATTTGAGTCCCTCGAGTATTTATACGAGGTTTAAATACGGAGGCCCTAAGTATGGTACAAACAATAATAAAACTCATTAATGTAATCAAAAGGTTTTTGTACTAATTCTTTCACACAACGATGTATTTGACTAAGAGGTGAATAAATAAATTGATATCGAACTCGTAAGTAATGAAATATGAACCTAATACCTCTCACTTACAAGTACTATGTGAGAGTTTCTTTAAAGTTTTGGTTGAAAGAAACAAAGTGCGACCATTTGTTGGATCCACCAAGCTGTTGATTAAAGAGTTTAACTTAAATGGTAGTTTTGAATCAAATTAGGATGTATAAAATAACCAAGCAATTGATCAAGCAACGAAGCACGCGGCTTGATCGTGGATGCGGATATTTCAGTTCAAATGGCACAAAAAGTTTAAAAAAATAGGCGACTTCATATAAAAATATTAACGAAATTTGGTGAACTGAAAACCATAAGCGAAGAAAGGCTGCAGAAATAAGCGACTGATTTACTTCCCTAAAACTGTTGAGTGCCAGATTTATATGGTCACTGGAAAGACAGGATATAACAACACTAAATGCACTTCATTCAGTTTTCCACGAATCTTGTGCTAACTACTTCGACGTAACGCACGTATAGCACGCACCAAAAGCGTTTCTGATTTCTTGATACCAACTGGTGTAACCGATCATCCATTAAACTTTAATTTCCAAACAAATGAGATCTAAAGTGAGCAAATACAAACAAATGAAAAACCATCGGATCAACATCAACTGGTATCATAAATTTCGAGAAACATTTAGTGCTTGTAGTTTACTCAAGATATCCACACAATCAAAACCATGAACGACGATTGTCATAAATTAACACAAATGACATAGTCTCAACACTTATGATTGTGTTTCTCATTGACATGAGTATGACCAGACCACTCGTACTAGTGTCATTCATTAACATAAGTTAATCCAAATGATGGCAGAAAATAAATTCAACCTTGTGTGTTGCTACCTAAAACTGCTTATAACTTCCAAACAACTTTTGACATAAGCAGTTTTAACATTAAACAAAAGGCAGCAACCAACATTTACCAAAGTACCAGAACTTTCTTGGACTAGAAGGCTAATTTTGCATTAGACAAGAGGTGGGTATTGCTTCGACTGCTGCCGAACCCTCTTCTTATACTCTGTGGCATCCTGCATTAAGCCAAGTTGAAGAGTATAAGAACAGAAATTTAAGCAAACATAAATTTCACCCTGTTAACTTCATAACAGGTGGTCACTTCTCCGCATTCAATCAATCCTATGGCCCTCAACAGATAGCACAACAATGACAACCCTTGATTGCAGTCACGCAGGGTGAATTCTGATGCAAATTAATTCCCACTTCCAGGACTAGTGAAGCAAGTGTATATTTTATAAACAAATAAAAAGATATTGAATCCTTTGCCTAGTGGACATCCCAAGATATTGCATAACCTTAGAAAATGCGTGAATGCAACCGTCAAAGTTATGTACATGCATATTACCATTATACTTTCTTTACATTCGTTACATAAACTATAAAGCCTTCCCTCAAAATTTGTGGAGCAATGGTTAAACACAAAGTTGTTAAGTAGAATAATACTTGAATGAATAGGTGATACCCTTCTGTCTGTGCAGGATCAGCAGGATTTGGCTGGTCCATCAAATCCTGAATTCCCACGAGAATTTGCTTCACAGTTATTACTGGTCTCAAACCCTACATGGAAGACAAAGAATGCTTAGTACCGTAAGATTAAAATCTAAACTCTCCATGCAAAAGAAGTGGCCTCCTTATGTTGAAAGAGTTTAAACAAGACAAATGCACTTACACTGTCCTCATTAAGAATTGACAGACAGACAGTTCCAGATGGATATACATTGGGATGGAAGAAACCTGGCGGGAATTTACATTTTGGAGGCTTGCTAGGGTAGTCTTCACTGAAGTGAAGTGTAAGTGGAAAGAAACCCCCATCCCAGTCAGTCTGCAACAAAAGATTAGGAAGACAAGTGAATACCTAAAGAAAACATCAAATTTTATTTCTTCATATCTACTATCCAGTGTCCATTTCAAATTTCACTTTAAAATCTTAAAAAATAGAACAGTAAAGGCATCATTCTGTTAATAAATAACCAAAATGTCTCTTGCATATTGCCTGAACAAATCCTCTTCTTGTCGTAACTTTCTCTAAAGTAAACAGACTCTTGATATAACTACCGAGTATATAATTACCAAAAACATGTTGAATGACATAAAAACAATAAACAAAACGCCTGAGTTTGAAAAGGATAAAGAAAAAAGAATCCACAATTAAAAATTGAGATAAAAATATTTGGAGATATTAGAAGAAAAAAGCCCTCAAATAAGGACATTGTGCTGAGTCTTCCACTAAAATCAAAACAAGCTTATGCATTATGGTACAAAATGACAGAAGCATAATATAACAAGAAGATGCATAAGCATTCCATCTCACTGGTTAATAAACAAAAAGGCCTTGATTCATGCACAAGTGATTTAGCCAAAAGTTAAATAGGATTGAGAACATTATTATTTCCATCCTAAAGTACTTAAGTGATTTATCCATACAAGGCTACAAATCTTTTAAACATGTACGAAATGACTCAAATATTTTGCAACACCATTCAAGTTCACTTATGAATCATTCTCCATGGACCAGATCCAGCATAAAACATGGATTTGCTCACAAATTGAGTAAGAAAAAAGTAGTACATATAAATTTTCATTGTAATCCATGAACCGAGTAATAGATGAAAGTGCTCAAGATGCAAACTAAATCCAATTAAAATCACGCAAGTAACATAACACATCAAGTCGCACCCAAGTATTCTCAACAATACTTGGTGCGGCATGCATTGATACCGTGCACTCAAACATGATTTCACCTCATCAATGATACTAATTGAAAATTTCGCAATATAAGAGTATAAGACCGTACCAAACTAAGTGCCAATACAACATTACCCAACAACTAAAACGACTAACTTATGGTTTTCCAGGAAACAATTTCGGCTACAAGAGTTTTTCGGGAAAGTTTCTCAGTTGTAATCGTATGATAGATTAATAAAGTAGTTTCTATAAACTTCAAACAAAATTGAGAAAAAACCCATCTCAAACAGTTCATTTCCTCTAACCCAATAATCCATGTGAACTAAGAAAAGCAAATTTCACCAGGACAAAAGAAATACATAAAAATAGTGAAATTAGAAGTGCCCAATAAGTCAGAGAGCTTACACCGGTCTTGCTAGGAATTGTGCAATGCCAAACCATCAAATTAACCGTCCCATCTGGTAAAGTCTCCGGCTTCGCAACAAAACCCTACAAACACAAAAACTAACCCACAAAAATCAGAACCCAATTTAAACAGTAATTCACAAAGAGAGAGAGAGGGTGGGTGTACGGACGTGAGGGTGGTTCTTCTGCCAGGCCTTGTGCTCCTCCGCCAGACGGCCACGAGCTATACCTCTAGACATGGCGTCGTTGCTTGTGGTTGTGGATCTCCGAGTGGTCTCCTTTGGGGTTCTTTTAGAGAGCGAAAATCGAAGACTTTTTTTGGTGTTTTTATATTTTGGTGGCCTGAAAGAGCAAATGGATTGGGAGGGAGGTGCGATTCTCGTTTTATGGTTTATGGGGCTTCCAATCAATTTTGTAATTTTTGCATTTTTATTAAAAAGGTTTTGGTCCCCAAAGTCAGTGAAATTCCTTTTTTTTTTTATAACAAAAGTATGCTATTTCTTTTTTAATAGTGGGCTTGTTTGGGCATCTTGAAAAAAGATGTTAAATAATCCGTCAAAATTTTATGCGAAATGTTAAAGAAATTCTTTTAAAAGTGGAACTTTTTATATACTCTCTGATACTTCATAATTTTTTTTTAACCCAACGATATTATTTATGTTAAAGGGGTGGGGGAGTGTACAAAGTCTCACAATGGGCCATTAATAATATGGTTCAAATTCACTTTTGTTGAAAATCGAACATAAGACCTTTCACTTACAAGTGAAGAATAATATCACTAGACCGTAGTACTAAGTGACAACACTTCACAGTTTAACGTCAATTTAATTTTCATGTCAACATATGAGGTAGTTGAGAGTTCTACTTCTAAGACAATCTCACTTTTGAGAAAGTTCTATTAGCATTTCTCAAATTTTATTTTATTATTTATGTGACGAATTGAATATGGATGTTATATCTTCTTATTTTCGAAAAGATATGTCAAATATTTATTTTATTAAATTTTGAGCCCAGTTGCATTAAATAATAAAAAATAATTAACAGTAATTTTTGTTTTCAACTTATTGGTTGTCAATAAGACTCGTACATTTAAAAAAAAAAGTTTTTTTTTGTCAAACAATAAATTTTGTTAGATTAGATGTTAGATTAGTCACTACTGGAGTTTAATTTTATCTTTGTTTACCGTAAAAAAAAAGACAGCTAAAAAGTAAAGAAGTCAAATAACTTAGTATATGACATCTCCCTTGAAGAATTATATGGTGCCTTCTAATCTTAATTGACGTATTTAACATCTCTTTTAAAAATAATCTTAAATAATTAATGGATAAGAAATAGAGAATATATCATCTTCTGATCTCTTTCATCAAGGTCATCGGATCAAGTGATCCAGACATTTGAAATTTCATCAAACGATCTAAAATTATTATAACTTTTAAGAAGTTAAAACAAATGAATGGTTGGATGAAATTTAAAAAACTCGAATTACTTAATTTGATAACTGTGATAGAACAGATCCGAAGAAATAAGTGCTTTGATCGTCAAATTCGTGCAGCAGCTTTTGTACGACGTTACATTGTTGCCGTAACCAAGGCTCCCACTAGAATGGGTTGGGCCTTGTTATGAATTAAAAGCCCATTAGACTAAGATCATATGATCTCTTGCGGAGTTTTACTTGGACTTAATGATTGGACTATAGTTACAGGCCCGTTATTATTTATTTATTTTTTGTTTCCCTTGTGCTTCAGGGGTGTGATCCATCCGATTCGATTTAGGTTAGGCCTCAATATGTTATACGAAAATAGGATTGAGTATGGATTACAACCACAACACATGGTTTAAAAAAAACTGTAAATTTTTCTGATCTGAATAAAGTTGGATGTACATGAAGAAGATTTGGCTCAACATGTTTTATTCTATACGGGTAGGGGTAGGAGCATTTAGTGGAACCGATGAACTACACTTACTTCTGGATAGATGTGTGGGACAAAGGGCTCGTGGCACCTGATACTCACCCTTCCTCCTCTACTTTGAGAATTGTGTGAACGGAGAGTGGCCGGAAGGGAAGGACGTTCTCATTCGGAGTCTCACACTTACTTGAGCAGTGTGGGAGACTGGGAAATGGGTCGAGCAAACTCCCCTTTTGGAAAATAACGTATTGGACTATGCTATGTTATATTGCATATTTGACTGTTAGATTATTGTATTAAGTAAATGTATCTATCGTATCCAGTCCCCAATTTAACATCATAATTTGTATTGGTTTGGTTTAGTTCTCAAATTGGTAGTATATCTCAATCATACTTTTGTAGTTTAGCCATTTCCCTTCGTAAGCTATCAAGCACACATTCTATGTCCTCTTACATTTATCAAGGGGAACTTGGTACCGGAATTGAACAATATTGAAGCCGGAAAATTTTTGAGAGAGAGAGAGAGAACGTCAAATTCGAACGATGAGAAATTTTAATTTTTTACTTTAAAAGAGTTTAAATCAATATGTGTGATGAAAAATAATAGTAAGTGGTGTTAACCAATAAAAAATTTCAAGATATTAATTGGGTTGAATAGAAGTAACATTTTCAAAGTAGGGCAATCAGATATGGAAGGAGTTGAAGCCTTCACTATTATTGCAATGGAGACCCCCTAACAAAAGAATTAGATTTTTAGAGGTCTTAGTTTGCTTTAATCAATTAGATTTAGATCAGTGTAATCTACACTAATTATCTCGCTAATGATGTGTTGAAACACAATTTGTCCCACATCGGACAGAGGGCCAAAGAGAAAGCAGTTTAAATAGAAATACCCCTCTCTAACTAACATCAAGGCCTTTTGTGATAAAACCCCACACCTAAGGATTGAGCAGGTGGTAAAGTGGAGACAATATTGATGTTGTTGGAGTGGACCCTCGGCCCGTCGACTTGAAAAATTCTACATGATGCAAAAAGCCTATAATTTGAGGATTAATCGTCATCATTATGTGTTGTCCATCACCATGTATGTGTTTAAGTTTAACATTATTTTTTCAACAAATTTGAAGGATTCTATTTGGATAAGGTAATAATGATGAGCCTTTGTTACGGATTTTCAACAAGTTTGAAGGATTATATTTGGATAAGGTAAAAACGATGAGCCTTTGGATAAGGAGATAGTACGTTTCAAACCCGAGATACATGACTAGAAATTCATCACCATGTATGTATTTAAGTTTAACCTTATTTTTTCAACAAATTTGAAGGATTATATTTGGATAAGGTAATAATGATGAGCCTTTGTTACGGATTTTCAACAAGTTTGAAGGATTATATTTGGATAAGGTAATAACGATGAGCCTTTGGATAAGGAGACAGTACGTTTCGAACCCGAGATACATGACTAGAAATTCAACACTCTAAATTACAAATCAAACTAAGTCGCGTGCAACCTTGACACAAAGATGCTGGACTTAGCAGCTACAACTTTCGCGTCGTCAGCAACAAAACCAAGGTGCAGAACAATTGACTGCTGTAAAGCGGGAGAAAAAAAGGTTAAGGAATTTAGGGTTGAGATTGCTGTCAAAGGTAGCTGCCAGAAGAGATGTAATGTTCATGTATATGCCTAATTGCCTACCATTCCAAAGTACGTGGTGAAAGGAACATATAACTTGCAGTGGTGCACATGAATATATGTGTTGGACAAGTGCATGAAGCTTGACCTGGAAAGAGAGATAAAGCTTTAGACTTCAGAGCCGTTGCACTTAATGTGCAAGACAAAGACATGAAAATTAACAACTGAAAGCAAAGAAATCTAACTTCTGGGCTAGCCACTGCGAAAAGTCTGGTTCTGGAGGACCACGCCCACATGACCACAGCTATAGTTTGTATCAAGCGAACCATACATCTTTTCCTCTGAACCAGACGTCGATGGTTCGATGTTGCATGTAATCGAATTGGCATTTATTATGAGAGAAACTTTTGTGTCGTGACAGTGGAGAAATTTTTTAATCTACTCAAAATATGGGCATAACTCCGCCTATGTCTTACATGGCCGGTCCCAAGCCCGGATAAAGGAGGAGGGGGAGGGCGTCAGGTAGTCGACAGCCGGCACTCCATGATCACGTCGAATCCTTATGAAAATGAATCCAGAACAAAATCGCGCTAAAGCTAGGGCGTCACCCGTAAGTGGCGCGCTGTGTGGCCCGAGCACAGTGATAAGTGAGCAAGGGTCGCTGTATCTCCATCGGCACCCGGATGCAGTGTTAATGAGCAAGGGGGCCATAGAAACTTCTTTTCGAACGACTCCACTCAAAGTTGTTTGGGAGCATATGCTCCTATCAACTTTACCCGGGACACACAAAAGAAGTACTTTGATCCTATTAGACGGGGGAGGGTGAAGAAGCTAGGACAGAAGGGTAGAGTTCAAGAGAGCAAAATACGTTTAGGAACGTGGAATATAGGAACCTTAACGGGAAAATCTATGGAAGTAGTAGAAGTTATGGTGAGGAGAAGGATAAATATTATGTGCCTACAAGAAACTAAGTGGGTTGGTAGTAAGGCAAAGGATCTAGAAAACTCAGGGTTTAAACTTTGGTATTCGGGCACAAATAGAACGAGAAACGGTGTTGGCATCATCGTGGACAAGACCTTGGTACAAGATGTTGTAGATGTCAAGAGGGTAGGAGATAGAATCATGGCAATCAAGATTGTAATAGGACAAGAACTTATCAATGTGATTAGTGCGTACGCACCTCAAGTAGGGTTGGATACGAGTTCGAAGGAGAAAATTTTGGGAAGATCTTGGAGACTTGGTGCAAGGAATTGCTCAGACGGAGAAGTTATTTATAGGAGGAGATTTAAATGGACACGTGGGCAGGGAGACAGGCAACTATGGAGGTTTTCATGGTGGCCATGGTTTTGGGGAGAGAAACGAGGATGGGGAAGCTATCTTGGATTTTGCAATGGCATATGATCTCTTCTTAGCCAACACCTTCTTTAAGAAGAGAGAAGAACATGTGATCACCTACAAAAGTGGGTCGTCAAAAACACAAATAGATTTTCTTCTAATGAGGAAAGGGGATCGTATAACTTGTAAGGATTGCAAAGTTATACCAGGAGAGAGCGTGGCTAATCAACATCGCTTGTTGGTGATGGATGTACATATCAAAAGAGTAAGACAAAAGAACAAGACTTGGAAGTGCCCAAGGACTAGATGGTGGAATCTAAAAGAAGAAAAACAAGCCATTTTCAAAGAGAAGGTAATCACCCAATGTGTGTGGGATAGAGAGGGGGAAGCTAGCCAAATGTGGGATTCCA